AGCATGAGTGATTGTCACGTACGGCCCCGTGAAAGTTTTTGGCAGGAAAATTGCTAACTCAAGAACCATGGAAAGCTAAAATTTCAATGAAATGTTCCCTGTCTAAATACCGCATAGGCAATTAACTTCCCGGACTTCGAGGACCAGTATATCACACCTTGCTACTGGGTTTCCGAGCGACCTCATTACAGCACGAAATAATACAAAAACGCATGATCGCACGGGCCCGCCAGGTGCGCGTCGCCAATGATTTTGCTAGCAAAATCCAAAATCTAATAGTACGTTTTGATTCTTTAACATTGCAGATGAGTGCTGTATCGCTGCTGTTGTTTCTGCTAGCAACGTTTTGCATTCTACCGAGCTCCTATTCAAAACCATATTCAAAGCAAAGTTTCGAAAATCGGAGCGATCCACGGGGCGCATCCGAAAGCATTGAAATGGACGCCACAGACGATGAGATGGACAATAGGTTTTTCAATGTATTGCAAAATATTCACGGCCGCATTGGAGTACTTGGCCTGATCGGTGAATGAAACAGCGCTGCTCCCATTTATTAAACATATCATCATCATCATTATTATTATGACTGCAGTCGAGATTATATGGGTGATCTCTTTCGAACAGTGCTGTATATAAGAGTTCTGTAAGTCATGTGTAATTTTCGATTGAAATTTTTGTGGAATCGATGGCACAGCTTTGTAACTAGTACTATTTCATGCCATCGGCTTTAGTATCATTCCACGAACAGGTGCATCACAACTGGCCATTTTGATCCAGAGGCGTTTATAGGATTTGGAAAAGAGGCATCGTCCCACTGGTCTTTTTTTTAAAAAAAGAAACTTTTGCCGCTTTCCTAACTCAGCACCATTTGACACAGTGTCCCATTTTTTTAACATACCATTGCTACCCAGATTTTATTAAAATTTGTTCCCCTCCAGTCCAATTTTAGCACACTGGATTGTTCCAGAACTGCTTATTTTACGCTATCTGACACTGAACAATCAAAAATGAGTTCCTCCCTTATCCTTCAGGATAAGTTTTTATCCAGAACAGTAAATAAAGCATTTTCTTTTTTTGGTGCTGCATACTAAATCGACAATTTCCGGTACTTCTACATGCATCTTTCGGCCATCAATGCATGAATCACCGCGGTGGAATTCAGAGTTCTCTGGCCATTAATGCGCATTAATCACTGTAGTAGATCAAAATGCTGAAGACTGAAATTGTTTCAGCAAAAGCACTCACTCCCCACAAATTTTGTCAGACAAATTGCATTTGGACCGGTTTTTTGTAAACATTTCGAGTTTTTTTAATACCGTTTTTCAGAATCGGAGCGGTGCATCTGCAGTAGTGTAGCTTCTGACAACTTGCTCTAGATATCAGCCCCGTTCTCGATGA